ATCGCAGAAATGCACACGCGATTTTAATTTATTGCGTTTCCTTAGTTTTTTCAATTTTGTTTTATTTACATCTACATTCGTTGTTGTTCATTTCTAGCCTTTGTCATCTTCATCACCTTCTATTCGGACTTTGAAGCATGAGCAATACCTCAAATGTTAGGAAATTGCGTTTTGCTTGTATTGTCATGTTTTATTGTCATGTTGTCCGTTTTTATTGTCATGTTCTGTGGGAATGCGCGGCCTCTGAGGGATATTGCAGAAGCAGCACAGTTGCTCTTGAGTTCTAGCCCTCGTCATCATCTTCGGTTCTTATTTTGCAGCACCTAAAATGTTATCCGCATAAAGAAATTGCGTTGTACTTGTATTCCAAAGCGCAATTACAGGACTTGGCAAAAAGCCAAGAGAGCTGCACGCGACCGCGCCGCGCGGATGGTGTTAGCATAAACGTGAGGGCGGTGTAGCAAGGAATTACGACTTTCCCACGGCCCCGTACTCTGACCCCGTGCAGTTTTGGGCGGGGGGACCACGACACATCGACAGCTGGGGGGCTGATAGTCTCATACACCCTCAATGTGTTTGTGATAGCTTTCGGATCGCGTACTGCGGCGTTAAACAGCAGTTATCAAACAATAACAGCTTGAAACTTGTAAAAAGCCTTCAGCCTTGCGGTTCACTGCCGATATCGGCTAACCGGCTCATCACGTTGAACGTGTGAGTGCTGTAAGGCTATGGCACAAACTAGCCATTGAGCTGACAAGGGAGGTCGTTCAGGGCGTGCCCCGCTTTTTCGAAACGGTTTATTGCACTTTGTAGGGCCTTGCCCATGAACCATAAAAGTGGGCTTCGTTTTGGCTGCGGCCCCTGGAATGCCAAAAAAGGAGCGAAAAAGAAACCTATGGAAACTGATTGTTTTTGAGCCTCTACGAGCTGTAAACCGCTTGAAACTTTGACCAGTTGCTGAATGGAGGGACCCTATAAAGGTACTATCGGAATCGAAGAGAAAAGTAGTCGGGGTATGGGGTCTTACTTGTGGCACGTAATCAAGCGTGAACGGCTTCATGGAATGGTTTCTTCAACGATCGGAGGAATGTTCAGCAACAACGATCGGATGGCCTAGTGGATAGCGTGAAGGATTCTCAAGCGGACAGTTGGGGTGGGGTTGATGGTTCGACTCCCCTCGGCGTGCGAGTTTTTGCATTTTTTATGTTTTGCTGTTTTCGCGTTCAAATATGTCTGTGCGTGAGTATGCGTTCGATAACTGCCATTTATGGGCACATTTTAAATGGGAACACTCCATGAATCAGTGCTATTCAATTATTACAGGTTTTACATACCATTAAGCAAGACCGTAATTGAAAGTTGACCTTTATAGGTCAGACCATGCCCGAATCACGAATATGGAACTTATTTGTAGCTACGGTGCCATTTATCGCTAATATGGAGTGACATGTTTCTCCCAATGAATGCGTTTGCTACACACAAGTAAGGGATGTGTAGCGCTACCCAGGCGCCAAATTACGTCGGCGCCGAAAATAATGAGTGTTGTGGAAAATAAGTGTGAAAATCATGATCGGGGCCCTGTAAACAATCTTTCGGCCAAAAAAATTTTTTCGACTTTTTTGGGTGTGTGCGTTGGGTTGTGCCCGACAGTCTTTCTATAGAAGTCTACAGTGCCTCGCCATAGGACCCCCTATTTTATTAATATCCAAAGATAAAAGTAACAATGCCGATGAAATTCATGCAAAGAGGAAGGAAAGGGAGGCATTCCACCAGGTTTGCTGTCCTGCCCGGCGGCCTGCTACGTCGTCGTTCCATCATCGTCTTTACGAAGATGGGATACTCCGGTCACCACTGCCGACCAAATGGTCCACCAAAACCCAAAAAATCGAAAAAATTTTTTGGCTGGAAGTTCGTCCATAAGGGTAATCGATGGTCCTGATTACGATTTTGACACTTATTTTCGACGTCGACGCAATTTGGCGCCAGTATAGCGCTTAACGTCCCTCATATGGGGGTACATAGACGTACCTTTCGCTCCTTTTTTGGCGTTCCTGGGGCCGCTCAGCCAAAACGAAGCCCACTTTTATGGTTCATGGGCAAGGCCCTACAAAGTGCAATAAACCGTTTCGAAAAAGCGGGGCACACCCTGAACGACCTTCCTGGTGAGTGATCAAAAGTGGCCTCGGTAGCGTAATAGGGAACGCAACTGCCCGGTAAGCAGAAGATGCGGGTTCGAATCCTCCGTGGTCCGACCTTTCCCAAAACTTAGCATTCTTGTGATAATATAATACCTCTTTTGACTCTAACACCACATCTTTATCGTTTCTTTGTCTGTTTTGAATTGAATTTAGCTACATCTAACTGAATTGACCAGCTGATTCCATATCCTCGCGAGAATATTGTGATCAGAGTGGTTATTGGGAAACAGAATCTTTTAAGAATACTTTGGGTGTGATATAAATATGGTAATGTCTGGTTTGACTGGCCTATCAGTAAAGGCGCTTTTTCCTGACTCGAAATTTCGCGCGAAAGGTGGAGCATTTCACCGCTCAGTCCTTCATTGTCTGATAGAGAAGGTCCTGTGAGATAGAGCGCTCAATTTCTCCGTGAATTCGATTAAGAGCTCAAGCCGCAAAGATCTGTTTTTAAGTATATAGCCAATGAACCCCCACAAATCCTATCCGCAGCCTCGACGTGGCCTGTTCCAAACCGTACCAATGCGGAGGGTGCCACGTCAGAGCTTGGCGAGCTACGCGTAGTCAAACTAAGACAACAACTCAGACTTGGACTGTAAGAAGGCAGAATGAGCATGCAGTTGGCGCTATTCGCTATCAGAAGGGCGATGCTGGGAGCTTCTCGCTACACACAAGTGAGAGGGGACCCGGAGCTCCGCACTCCGCCGACGATCGAAGATCAGAGACGCCGCCGCATTTGCCAAGGTTTCGAAGATCAGGTGGGCCGGACACGTCATGCGTTTCGAGGACGACCGCTGGACCAGAGCGATCACCGACTGGATTCCACGGGATGTCAAGCGAACGCCTGGACGACCGCCTACGCGATGGTCAGACTTCTTCGTGAAAGCTCTGAACGAATGGTATGAAGTTCATCGTGTCCCTCGAGCTGAGAGATGGGCAACTCTTGCACGTTGCAGGGACGAATGGAGACGTTACTGGCGCCCGCTCGAGGAACTCGATGATTAACGGGAGCACAGGTAATAGGAGGTGATACACGAGGCTTACAGGTCTAAGTAAGTGGGACTATTTTGGTGCGACATGTTAGTTACCCTGAGCTAGCAAATCAATCTAGCGAAACTGCCGAATGCCTACCCCTCTCCGAACCAAAAGCGCGTACATTTTACAGCGTTGATCTGGAACTTTATAACTTCATCTGAAATATGGGGTGGCTCTCTGAATTCCCATGATTTTTGTAAGCATAGTGAGACAGCAGAAGCATTAGTATTAATGATTCCGTTCAAGGTGCGTTATGTTACACCAGTCTGGCTGACGCGCATTTCTGCGCGCATGGTTAAACCTATGTTACTGATAACTGACAGGATTTCTGTGCTGAGCACTAACACTTAGCCTAATTCCTATGTTTCCAAAACGGCCCATTTCATCATGTTTCTCCCTTTTAATGAACACTTGCCAATGTTAGGTTCTTATCATATTTCTAAAATCACCATTCGTTGGAAATCGGACAGCATAGCGGTTGGAAGGATTCCGATGGTAAAAATATTGAAATCATAGGGGCTCTTATCATTCCTCACTGGGCAACAACTCCAAACATCCTTTTTCGGGAACTC